GTATAAGTTAACAATAGTTAATTAATAGAAAGTATCAAATTATTATTTTCAAAAATTGACTCTTTTTAATTACGCTTCTCACGAGAGATATGGATTTCTTACGTCTTACATAGCTTAATTAATTAAATTTATTTTATTAATGTCATTTTCAATCTGCAAACATTGAGCGTATTATAAGATGCAATTGCAATACCTCTTATATCAGTTCGTTTTATATATCGTTACGTTGTTATCACTCCGTCAAAATTCAACATTTAGAAATCACCAATATCTCTGGAAATGCATATTAATACACTATGTTTCATACTTATGTAAATTGAGTTGGAATGAATATGTCAAATAACTCAGATTGTCTAAGTGCCAGCGGCTATGTAATGGCAGGTCGAGATAAGCATAAGCACTATCAAACCTGTTTTCATCTTCGCTAAACAGGTTCTTGTATGACACATAATAACTTCACTGCACGCTCTGCTTCTTTTCCTATTTTTTTTTACGGTCGCGGTTTCGCAGATCACTTTGTGTCCTTCGCGCATGATAAGGTAAGACAAAAGCATAGAAAACGACTAAGTACTGTTTAATAATCAAAGTTCTTTTACGCTTACATTTGAATATCAATCGCAATGTTAAGGCGTAAAGGATTCTGTGGAACATCATATATTTGAGAACCAAATAAATAAATCAAAGACACTTAAAAATCAAATAAATTAAAATAAATTTTGTCTCGCGCGTTTTATACAAACTTATTTTTATGTGCTCTTTTTTTTACGTGCACACAAAAGAATACGCAAGTAATAATTACTTATTTCAAGTATCTCAAAAGTTTATATATCCGCAAATCTATCTATAAATTCATCAGAAGTATTCAATTTATTCAAAACGTACTCTGAATCCTAGTAAGTTTAATTAACTTCTTTCTCAATTAAATTTATTAAATTAAAACAAATTCGATTTGCTCATGATGAAAAGTTCGCTTCTTCGATCAATTTTGTAACATTCTCCGAAAGAAAATAAATTCCTGTTTTGAGTACATAATAATGAGTTTTTCGAAAATTTTGTAGTATACTCGTATGTAAGTATATTTCTTTTCTAGATTATTATCAAGAAAGTATTCTTTGATAAAGATAACCGTTGCTTGAAAGAAAGAAGAATAAATTGAGTAATCTTTTCTTAGCGGTAAAATGATATTTTTCTGTGTGTGGTTCGGCACATCTCTTTCGTATAATTCTAATTCTTTCCGGAGTATAAAAGAGCTCTCTGCTCCTTTCGCGCGTCGGTGCGTGCAGCGCAAGTGCGCGTCGATGAGGCGACTAGATGTGATGCAACGAAGAGATGCGTCGGAACAATGGCCCGCGATATTACGTACGCGCGTAACAACGGATCCCGCGGATGGAGGTGTGCGTGGATGCTCGTGTTTTTCCGAGAAAGAAAGAGAGAAACGAGAAAAGCGCCGGTAGTACTTCTGTGGTATTACGTGGATAACGAGCGTGCCCCGCGACACAATCGTACATATCCGTATTTAGGATTTCGTCGCGGAACACTTCCCGCGGATGCGATGCTCTCTTCTTCTTGGCGGAAGAAATCTCTCTCATCGATAAGTGCCAAAAGATCCCAGGCGGGAAAGAAAAAAAATTGCGACGTCTTATTATTACATTCAGCGCGCGCACAATGCGGTCGCGAGATAAGGAAACTACTCGGGATGGTGGTAGACTCATCCTCGCGACCGTATCTCCCGACCTCGATCGGATGATCAAATGATACGAAAACAAGGAAATCGCGTTTGCGAGTTTCCTAAGCTCGCGTTCCCGTTATCCGGGTAATTGCTGATAACCGCGAGATAGTTGGACAAATTGACAATCCGACGGACATTCGTGATTCAGCGAGTATGAGATTTATGAATGTGCGTGTTTACGACATTCATGAACTCTCGGGAGATATGCCGTTCCTAATTTCCGAGCTCTTAATCTTCATTTTTTATGTAAAATAAGGACTTGCCATATTTGACAGGAATTAATATACACTCTTTAAAATTTTTAGTGGAATCTCGCTCTAAAAAGTGAAAATTGAATATCTTGAAAAGAACGGCACACTTTTCAGTCTGCAACAATGAGATTTCACTCTTAGTGAGAATTCACTTCAAAAGTTTTAAAGAGTAAAAATGCGGCAAGTGCGAATTGACGCGTAGTTAATTAGGCCGCAGTAATATTTTAATAAACAAATTAATTTAGCAGTAAAACTAATAATAACGACTAAGATATTCACAAATAATATACAAAGATATACATGACTGTCGACCATAAGGCAGGAAATTCCTATCATAAGAAGATGTCATAAATATGGAATGCTTAACATTCAATATATGAGCTATGTTCGTTTTGGTGTTCGTATAATTTGCCCCTTTTTAATATTTAATAAAGAACAAGAATAAAATGCTGCTAATTAGAGCGCTATTGAGCTAAAGTAAACGTAGCCATGAATATAATTTCCACTCAGAATCGATATAGATAATAAAGATAATGGTACACCAAAAGACTTAAGCAGCGAAACGTAAGCAGTAAAAAATCAATATGTTTGATCTGCTTACGTTATGGCTTTACGAGCTTTACCGTGATTAGCCAATTCGCTTACTGCCTTTTTTTTTTGTATGCTCTGGACTTAATAGATAAAGCAATTTATACAGAAATAATTGGAATAGATTATTAGTAAGGCCAAGAGCACATAACAAAAGTTCTCGTTCTTTATCAAAGAACTCTCTTAACTGGTGCACAACGGTGCAACGAGTTGAAGTGGAAGAAACAGTTCAGAGAGTTTATCGATGAAGAACAGAAAACGTCGGCGGACTGTGTCGTTTATGGAAAACAATTAAAAGTGTATTGTGTGCATGCAATGGTTACATACATCGTCATGGACTTTCCATCAATGACACAACAGTCGGCCGACACTTTGTCTATCGTGTTTTTGCCCTATCAGTAAAACGTTGTCCACATGATAAAACAATTAGTCAACACGATAATAACGACAATTAAATAAATTAAAATTAAAGGTGTAAAAAAATAAAATATAGAGACTGAACATTGTATGTCTGGTTAATATGACAATCAAACGTTAAAATCCTTTTCATTTTCCTTCAACGATTCAGTCATTTTCACGTCATCAACGCACACTTGATTGTCGCACGAATCGACCGAGCGATGTACACACATTATGTACTTATCTATACGCGTGGATAACAGTTCCTGGCAAGTTGATTACCGTTATCGCGCAATCCGTCGAAAGAAATCAAAGGCGTCAAAGGCGAGGTCGATTAGGGTCTCCTTTTCGGTTATCCGTGACCCAAATATTTGGCAATCGCCTCGCCCAGAACGGTCTTTGTACGAAATTTACCTCGTATTGACGCTGCTCGGTGGGGCAGGTCTGTTACACGGGTCCTCGAGGTCGCATTGACTACGCAAGAAGACTTCGAGCAGCCCCATGAAGAGCATGAAGGACGAGCCGCCGCATGTCGAGGCCAAAGTGGGTCCTGCGGACGTGGTCAACGGACAATTGCAACTCATCTGGAACAGAAACATTATTAGTGTTTCATCAATCACGTAGTGACACGACGTAAATGTAGGCTTTAACGGTGCTGCAACACCGAAAAGCTCACCGTAGGACAACGATTTATTGTACTTTGGCGGATCTGATTGAAACTGAGCTCGTTCTCGGTTCTTTTATACGATAGTAAATAACGTACGTCGGTATCGACGGGGAAAGGACTTTATCAAATCGTCGCGCGTTAATTCCAAGGAGAACGTATTTTATTTGAAAACGTTTTCTCCAAGCCGCACGACCGACTACAATAACTAACCGCAGAAATGCATGACCATTTAATTTACGCGTATTACTGTGATTACGCAAATCATGCGATAATCATATATCTTCTTGTAGCTCGAAGATAACGGTAACTGTCATCGCGTTTTGCCGTAACATTATACAGGTTGAGCTGATTATTTCTCAATAATCACGACGGCGATATTAATCAGGATTACATGAAGTATAATAATCTGTATCTCTACGAGAATATTAACTATGTCAATTATGTTTGACGTATAACAATCTATGGATCACTAAAGAGTGTGTTCTTTATATCGCAGTACTGATTACACATAATAATAAAATTAATACAATACAAAAATAAGGAATTAAATTTTTCGATTGCTAAAATATATCTGACTTTTACATTAATAAATAAAAATATAAAAGCGATACAGAAGTTTAGTATTAAACTGCTCTTCTCGCTTATATATCTTTATTAATATAAAATATCAGATATTAATAATTGTAGAATTTAATTATTTCCTTCCGTATTGTGTATTATACCATTTATGATAATTTATATATTTTATATTGCCTACGTGAAAACAGTCCGTGTAAAGTCAACGTAAACAATACATGAATACTCCATGTTAATGTAGTGTGTTGAAACATACAACGCAAACCTGCTCTTAATTGCCCGGTCGAGAGGTAAAGCGTGTGTGATCTGCGAAAGTAATATTTTCATTCAGCAAAGGAGCCGAAGCATCTAACAATAAGCAATATCCCTTAACCAGTCATGCACCGATGCAATCCGCCGAGAGCGCGTTTATCTTCGATCCGCTGCATCGTCGGCGGACCATGAAGCCGAGCTACGTTCCGTGAAGAACAAAAGTCCGAACGAGAGTGAGAGTGCGCATACCGACGTCGCCGTCGTCGTCACCGTCGAAACGTGTAACAGCCTCGTAATAGAACGTGTCCGGCTGTAAATTCATTCAGCTCCGTTCGACCAGCGACCGGCGCGATTGAGAGGCGATCCCTCTTCGCGGGAGTGCGCGTCGCACGTGCTTTCTACAATGCAATTCTCTTGCATCGCGTCTATCTCGGAATGCGCGCCTGCCTTGTATGCGCGCGTACGTGTGTACAGCGGTGAAACTTTTTTTTTTCTTTTTTTTTTTACACCGCGCGTGTTTCCTCTTCCGACATTTCTCACGGTCGGATACATAATCGCGCGAGGCGTAACGCGCCGAATTTCTACCGCGAACCCGCGAGTGAAGCGTAACGATTGTATGTAGGGATTGCATTCACGCTTAAATTTTCGGTGAGAAAGCACGAGAGGTGTGGAGAAACAAAGAGAGCAGCACGCCCGTACGTCTTCTCTTCATTGAAAAGGAAACCTATATACAGCACAGACCTCCGAGAGACATCCTAAACGTATCCAGAAGACGTTTTTTTATCCTAAGGATATTCCTAAAATGTCCTGTAAATAAAGTGTCTTGTTACGGGAAAGATTTGGATGCCAAGGTTGATATCGTAAGGATTTTTTTGTAAATAATATTTATTACATTTTAAAGATACGTGGATTGTTTCTTCTAATTTCTAGACATTCAGAGAATTTCTAGAAATTTTCAAATTTGTTAAGGAGAAAGGTAAAGCTAAATTTTTTTTTTTTTTATTGACAGATCAGTGAATTCTGCGCCTAAAATCTGATATCAGTCCAATGGATTTTCAACGAGATGGATGAGGGATAGATCTTTAATAAGGGACGGATTTTATTAACAAAAAATTACATCCGACAGGTTGTATCGCACGGATGTACCTGACACAACACGGTGAGGACGGTAAGAAAACAGAAGGAGAAGCTGTAAAATAGCATGACTTTCGTAATCGACGGCGAGACAGTGCGCGGTTCTCGGTCAGTGAACGTAACGGTGTTGAAGCTTTGCGAAGGAGCGTATATAGGTATACGCTCGAGGGACGTATAGCTACAAGTAAATTCGGGCTCCTGCAATTACGTACTAAAGTACCATAATGTACCTGAAGCTGAATGTAATAAACAAAACTCGACAGTCAAAGTAGGAAATGAGTTCGTCTTATTTGTCTATTCTATCAAAGGTAATAGTATAATAATAATGATTAAGTAAAATTAGAGAATTTTTTAAATGTCGGAAATGATGATCTCTACAAATTGTGACATATAATAATTAATAATATTTCGGAATCACGTACCAGATTTGTATCAAATGATTTAAGCGAAACGTAATCTAATTTTATATCATTTATATATAAAATAAATTTTATAATATTTATTTAAATTTTATCACAGGATATAAATTGTAAAATAAAATCGAGTGATATATTTTTGTCTGGCTATATTTATACCACTTTCAAAATGGTACGATATTCCTGTTTAATTATTATTAGATCGTTCTGATTATTTATATTTTACATACTCGACGTTAATGCGCTTCCTGATTAATTAGTGCGTCGTTCATGTCCGCTGGATATCTTTCGCTCGAAATGGAAAATCACGAATAAACAAAGTAATTTTCGATCGTTTAGAGTAATGGAAGTATAATTTTGCTCATTTTTTCGCCATTATTTTACGTGCGTGCATCTGAGCATCAACGAGCCATTGAGAAATTGCTTATAATCCTATTGCTCATAATCCTAGTAATTCTGAAGTACGCATCTCGCTTCCCATTTTACGTAAATTATCGTAATATGTAAATTTAATGTATGCGATAACGAAACTAGTCTTTCCTCTCCCTAGAAAATTCCCATCGCATTTCTTACGTTGATGATCCAAATATAATTAAACCTTAAATACTTTTTAAATGTATTTTCAAGAGATTTTTAAAAATTTTTACCTGCGAAATATAGATGACAAAATCATATGTACTTATTATTTTCAAAGGGTTCTTCAAAATTGTTACCTGTGAAATAGAAGCGAGAATATACTTATGATTTGTACACGGTTCAATTTCTCGACCGCGTGAAATTATCCTGATCTCGCATGAATATTAACTGACGGTTTGCATTTTTTCTAATTGTTATTCATATATTATTATCCGATGTGTGTTACACGTAACGATGAATCGCGTAACAGAGCATAGTTTGACGATGTAATGATTGTTTGCACGAGAAGACCGTAGCACCTGAGAGGGTGTTAATTGGAATTTATGTAACTTAAAAATGCTTAACGTTGGCGTTAACAACATCGCAATCGCCACAAAGAGAGTATAATTTCCCGCAAATTATTACTGTATGCTTCTTGATTATCAAGCGTGAAAATGTAGACATTACATGCCACGTTACATATTTCCTGGCGCGATTTTCCATGTCAATTTCATCTATTTTGCTATGTTCACCTTATTATACACGTATCCAGTTCCGACGGATATCATCGATGTGGTAGCTATTTGATTAAAATGTTATGCAATGCGTTACGCGTAAGATCTGAACGTACGACTCGTCTGAATAATCTTAATTTTTATATAATTACAAAATATTCAATAATAGCAAATTTCACTGCGATTAAAAATTATTCTCTTCTATATACGGCCGGATATCTGCCTAATTGTTTTTTAATGAACGCAGCCGAGCAAAGCATATAGACAAATATATTAAACACAATTATGTCATACGTGCTTTATAATTTCCAAGATTTACGATTTTAGTGGAAAAATTACTGTGTCTATATGACAAACCGTTATTAGTTTTTTTAAATAATTATATACAATCACACTTCAGAAAACAAGGTGATTATGATATAATCTTAAAATTTTATATAACTTTAATTTGACATTGATAAACGGATAAGAATCATCACGTTTCGTGCATTTCTCTCACGTGCTTGACTTGATACGATCTTTAAGCACGCATATGTCTCTCAAGGATTTGCGAGTGGATATCGTATCCTACCGATAGACTTAAAAAACGAATTATGCATATTCGACAAGGACATCGTACATGTCGCTGCGGTGACGATTATGCGTTTAAAGGGAGAGGTACGTCTGACGACGCTTAATGCCAAGGTACACGATTATCAGATAGCGAATTAATCCTGCATATTTATCACTGCGTTTATTTATTGTAATAAGTAATTAACTATATTATACAGAGAAACAATTTCTAGTTGCAAACATGCAACAAGCGTGTAACACGTATCAGAG